ACGCTGCTGAAGAAAGTCAGCTGCAGCATGTCCCCACTCCTCCCCTGCATAACTTTTCAAGGCTATGTAGGTCAGCTGTCTCACTGCTCTTCTGAACCGCCGCGTTTAAGTTCTGCATTGTTTGTTCTATCATTGGAAAGTAGCGTTACGGAGACAAATGCTAATCGACAGCTTTTAAGCTTTTACATCCCTGGGAGCGACGAAAGTGACACAAATCAGATTTATGTAATTGTGTTTTCTAAAAAAGCTCGAATTCAAAGCTGCACTTTTCCCATTATGGCCCCTCAGACGTCACAAACGCGAGCGGAGGAAGATGTGACACCGATAAGTCGCTTTGCATCTTAAAAGTTGAAATTCCAACTTCTACAAAGTGCTCCCTAACAGCAAACAAACCTCTGCAGCCCAAACTTTTGGGGGGGTAAAACAACTTTAATGATCACGAGCTTGAATTTGAAAGGATTTTTAGTCTCTTTGATCTTTTATTTCCAGTTCACCTTCACATACTCCAGAGTCATGAACATTTATAATATGCAAAGCCCTCCTCCATTAAATCACGCTCTATGTGAGAGCTTCAAACCTTCTTAGAAGCCTCTGACCTCAAACGCGATGGAAAAAAAAGGAGTAGCACCGGCTGGCTCTGCTGGCCCTGAGGTCTTACTTACACAACCCAGTGAAAAAATAGAAAAAAAAAATAAAAAAATGCACACACCTTACGTCTGAGGCAGTCACATATGCAAACATAGCCGCACAACCATCCTTGACCTGATAAGCAAAGCGTAATTAAAGCTGTTTTGATATGCAAACATGCGCCGTAAACAAACCCTACGATGCATGGTTGCTCTTCCAGAAGATACGAGGGGCTGTTTGAGGAGGCAGCGAAACATCATGGAAACCATCACCCGCTTGCAATAGCATTTTCTTAGATAATCCATTCTGCTTCCTTTGACAAAAGATAAAAACCTAGTGGAGCTATTCCCCCCCCTCCTCCAACAAATACCCTCCTCGTACGGCCTGTGAGATATTACCCCCGCCTTATCTGGGAAAAAAATAGAGCTTTGATAGATTCCATAAGAAAGAAATCTTTATTCAGCGAGTGACGGTTTAATCCGTGTAAACCTCCTCCGGTCGCTAGCGTTCATATTTTTTTGGTGCAATTTGGAACTCTTTGGGAAACTTTACATCACTTTTTATTAACACTTCATTTCATTTCTCAGCACAAACTTGTTCTGTAAGTGTCATGTGTGCTTAATTTCCTAACAAGTAACTAATTGCGGCGAGATTAGTTTCCCCAGTCACGGATGAAAAATCCACCCTCCATCCCCCCCCAAAACCTCGTCTTAAAAAGCTTTATTCTGCCTACAAGATTGATCTTCTACACAAATTGCATGCCCACAGATGTGATAAGAACATGCTGTGCACAATGAGACGACGGCGCATAAGCCGAGGAAATGATGTTGATTTTATGTCATTAGTCTGGCGAGCGGAGAGAGCGCGAGTGCAGCGAGCGGGCCAGATCCGTCCATTAGGGGTCATATTCAATGCCTTCCAATCGAATGGGATCCTTAATTACACATAGCGAAATTGGCTAATTGTGCAGCTAAATCATTTAGTGGAAGCAAATGATTTCCTGTTCTGGGGCTGTTTATTGACTCGGACATCATCAGAATCGCCGCCGGATACTTACTGGATGGCTTTGTGCTTAATTCTGTTGCCCTGAAAGCTGAACTGTGGCAAATTTATGCAATCCATATACTGTAAATTAAAAAAAATTAACGCTGGCTATCGATGACAGTTCATTATTTCTCCTTTTTTTTTTTCAATAAAGTGAGGAATTGCTGGTTAGCCACAGTCTAAACATAATTAAATGGCATAAAAGTCTTGTTTTTGAGAAGAATCTTAACCCAGAGAATATTTATGTGTAAATGACAAATAACTTGGACACAAATTTTACATTTTCTCTCCAAAAAAACACACAAACAATGAATCATTTCGGCACCAAACACTAAATGGATGCTGATGATTTCAAAAAGAATGTCAAAAAAACAAGCAGACTGCATCCCTGTAAGCATAAAAGCTCCAAAAAGTGTTTCTCAGCGTCTCCTTTCCAAACCCCGTCTTGCCTGGTAAATGCATTTCAAACCTCAACTTACAGCCAATTTTACAATTGGTCATTCTGCGGCTGCACAGCGGCGGCGGCGGCGGCGGCTATGCATCCTTCACAGCCAGCCTCCCTTTTTTACAAAACTACCTTAGAAATTTCTACTTCTTACTTGTTTACAAACACAGGCCTCCAGGGCAGGCGCCGCTATATTTCTCGCCCGAGGAAAGAAATTCTGATGCTTCAGGAGCCTGGGAATCGTCCGATGTTTTGCAGTTGAGAATGGTTTCGGGAGGAAAAAGTAAAAGGATGATGGATTATAGAAGCTTCGCTGGACGCTGATGACATTATTCGAACATCAGATGAACACGGCAAACACTTTAAAAATGCAAATACACAGTGGCTCGAATGGAGACATAAGCAAAGAAATCGCCGCCGCTGAATGTCAGTTTGGGGAACTTCCGTGCTTGCCTTTGGCTAACTTATATGACCTTTGCCGTGGGGCTGCCTCGGGCTCCTCGCGAATGTTAGAAGAATCTCTGTGCCTGCCTCGCTGTTTCTATCCAATTGTATTTTTTTCTTAAAAAGAGACAAAAACAGGAAATAATGAGCAAGAAAATGAGAAGAATGATGATTGTTCTGATGTCACAAGTGGAGACGCTGAAATATTCATCAGCTTGTCTTCATCTTAAGAGCGCCGTCAGCGTTTCTGATGCCGAACAAGTGGTCGGGTTTGGATTAATACCACGTCTGTATGAAAGGTCCTTCTTGTTTCCTGTCGTCACCGCCGCGCGCACACGAACCGAACAGTTTAGTTACACAAAGAGACGCTCATCATCCGCGGCAGCTATTGAACATTCCAGACACAACTGAAATGCTTTCATAGCGCGAAATTGTGCATTTTGGATTCAGCCTACTTTAAGTCCAAAAAAAAGAACCCCAAATGACACCACTTTGGCTTTGAAGCTTAGTTTTCCTCAGCGTATTAATGGATGTTACGTGAGGCCATTCTTTGTTCTCTAATGGATGTACGGGACGTAAAGTTCCTTCCATTTAGCGTCAAATAAAGTACCATAAAGGAACCGTATGGCACTTTTTGAACTGGATTCTTTCAAGTGACATTTTCCTTTAGAGAAGTCAGAACTTTGCCATTACCCAGACAAGAAAATCACGTAATGGAACAAATCTGACATTAATGTACATTGCACATGGAAAAATTAAGAAGTGAAAAATCTCATAATGAACACTAACTCTGCTGCTGAAGTTAGAAAACAAATACTTTTTGTTTTGGTAGAATATCAAGTACCAACCCACAGATTTGTGAGTTCTATCAGATGCTTATCTGTTCCCATTTTGCATGACTTCAACTGTGTTCCAAATCAATACAATACTCTTTTGGCAGTACAAGAAATCAATACGTTTCTACTGTCTTATGCGAACAAGAAATGCTGCAAAATGTGTATTAAAGCTGCTAATATACAAATGTGAAAAGTTAGAGAGGAATCAAAATGTTCCTCCGATACTTCTTTTTGTTCTCCGAGGAATCCCTAGAGTTTTATTACCGCCGTTATCCTGCAGCGCAGCTCCATTTCCCCCCCTGTGCACTGTGAGACCATACCAAAGATCAGCAGCACACTTAAAAAACATAAAGAGTTTAGTGCGGATCCCGAAATTTCTTAGCGTTACATAAAGAGCGCGCGTCTCCCCGAGCAGTCCCATTCCAGAAAAAGCTTCACGGATGAGCAAATTAATGAACCAACACAGAGAAGACAAGCCCCCAAAGAGGGAATCCGAAACGCCTAATAAATTGGGAAAGTTGAAGAGGCTCCGGAGGAGCATTTTAAACAAAAACATTCTAAACAGTGGTGGGATCACAGGTTTGAGTCTCAGCCCAAAGAGTTTAATCGTTTGTTTTTCGGTGGGAGGGGGTTGCAATAACTGCCTTAAACTGATAAGTGCGTATTAAAAGACTTGTTACACAGATCTGAGGAGCAACCGGTTGAAAAACAGCAAAAAAAAAATCATTACGGGCTAACTGACTCCTAAGGCAAGCCGATTCCAGTAGTTTGTCACTGGATGCTGATTGGTCCAACCACGCAGTCACATAGCTAAAAGCCTGGCAAGATCGATAATCATAATCTCGTGAGTCTCTGCGGATGTCTAGCTGCCTGCGAGGTAAAATTAGAGATGCTAGCTGCAATGAATGATCCACTTGTCTTCTATCAGTTAACAGCAAAGAAACATGGGGGGGAAAAAATGGCCTGAAATGAAGACATAAAGCACGTTACAAGGTCATCCAGCAGGAGGTGTTCCTCAGGGCCTTCCTCCGCACAGTGGGTTACCTTTCTTGATGCCTCCCACCATTTTAACCGCAAGCCGTATATCCGTCGTCGTCGGAGGAGGAGGAAGAAGACAACTGTACAAACGTTTCACATATCCACTCATATGGATTTCAAGACTTTATTGAGCATTAAAAAATATACACCAAGGAAAATATCGTTTTCCTTTTTCCCCATATTTATGTTCTTCCATCTTTTTTAAAATCTGATTTAATACTTCCAGACGAACGACCCATGATCCAAAGCGACAAAATGAAAAAGAACCAAAAAAAAAAAAAAAAAAAAAGAGCAGTCTTGTTTTTTTCTCTTTTTAAAATCTGATTTAATACTTCCAGACGAACGACCCATGATCCAAAGCGACAAAATGAAAAAGAACCAAAAAGAAAAAAAAAAAAAAAGAGCAGTCTTGTTTTTTTCTCTTTTTTTCAATTTATTTAGTTCAACAGTAGAAGTTGAAAACCACGGAAACAGTTTCGAAAGCTGTTTGTTCGTATCGTTCACTGAAAATTCTTGAAAAAACGCGTTTCAAACGGATTTGGTTCCAACGGGAGTGTAATCACAGACTAGGTCGTCACATCCGACTCTGCCTCTCCGTAGAGTTCTGCAAGTTTCTGGAACTCGGGTCCCCAGTCGTCCAGGTAGTTATAATCCTGCTCCGACTGTGTGCCGGGAGAGTCTAGCGGACTGATGGATCCTGTGGGCGAGCCCTGACCCTCGTACGCGTAGGTCTGGAGGGAGTCGTAGGGCGGCACGCTGGTGTCCATGTCGGCCTCCACCAGTCTCTGCTTGATGAACTCGTGCACGTCCACCTCGTCCGGCTCCACCGACGGGCTCCGGCGGCCGCGGGGAGGCTCGATGTGTTTCCTGGCCTCCGGCCGAACGTCCCGCCGGAACTTTAGCTCCTCCGCGGCGGCCGGGTTGCGCAGGGCGATGATGTCGAACGCCTCGGTGTCCTCCTCGCCGCCGCCCTCGTCGTCGTAGGTGACCACGTTCTCTCTGATGTCCTCTTCGGAGATGATGAGGGGCTCCTTCTTGCTCCGCCTCAGGGTGATGAAGAGAACCACGATGGCTGCAAGAGAGATGGAGTTTTGTGGTGTCAAGGCTTATGGAGGATAATACCATCAAGTACAATGAACAGCATGTACAGTTCTGGCAAACAAGTCCATACAATACAAAGACTAAAATGATGATAATCAAATGTGGCTCAACCACGTATTTATGCTAGTACCGATCAATCCATTACCCCCTGACAGCTAAACATGCTGCGGATCACACGAGCACAAGCTGACTTTATGTACATGTTTAGCCAACATTCAATGAGGACACTAAAACCGGCCAAGCGTCGAAGAGTTGTGAGACAATAACACGCATTAGCCGTTGTTAGCATTGATGATTCCTTGAATGCAAGCCATTGAGATGATGGCAAAAAAAAACAAAAAAACCCATATTGGAGTAAATTCAGCCTCACATTCAACCCATACGCAATGCATCACGTAACGGGAAAGCATATGGAGCCGAGCCCCACGCAATAATCTTTAGGTGAATGGTGAGAACGAGCCAGCTGTGTCGCATCAAAGGAAACGCAGCCCTGATGCTGCGAAACGTCTGCGCTGATAAGCAGCTTTCAGTGTGAAGTATGTTTTCCAACCGTTAATGAAGTCATGAAGTCAAGTAATATTTGATGGCACGCTTCAGCTCGGAACCACGACTAATGAGAGTTCTGCTTCTTTGGGTTAATGATGACCTCTTACCAAGATGTTAGCACTAACATCGATTTAATAAAAACGGCACCAGCGAGGGGAAAGCAGTGCAATATCTAAAAAGAGTTCATTATGGTGCATTAGCGGAGACGGGTGAGATAGATCGGCGTCCCTGCCGTGGCGTCGGCGCTTCACCGCATTCAACCTTCTTGTTTTTTCCCCCCCAAAAAAAGCAACTGATGACAAGCGTTTTTTTTTTTTTAAGAGGTGAGAAATGTTTTTCTGGCCATTGTACATCCACCTGTGACGTGCTGTATTCATCGTTGGATTAGCTCCTCGAGAGACAGGAAGGTGGTAGCGTCAGATAAAGACGAGGTACAGGATCCCGCTTTCATAATCTCAAGGATGCAATGATGCATTTGGCTAATCTAATGTATTTACTCAAGTGATGCATATTTTTGTGCGTACCGAGGTGGCTTTGGGATCCCGTTAACACAGTTTCAAAGAGATTTAAGCCCTCAAAGTAGACTTTAAGCAAAGCTTCATGTCAGTGCACCCTCAGTCTAACACTAGAGACTCTTTCAGTTTATTCGGGAGGGTTAGAATCACCACATTTACAGCGGGGTGGCACTGAGTCTGTTTTTGGCCCACTTAGAGCGCTTTAGGGCTTTATCAGAAATTAAAATCTGGACGACTACAGTACATTAAATCCTCCTTTTTATGGGTGTAATCATGGTCAGACTGACCCACTGGGGAGCCTGTAGGATAAGAATTATGTACTCCCTTAGTTAAAACTGTTGTCACATCCTCTTGAATGGGTGCCACTGACACAAAGGAGCAAAAATGCACAACTTCATCCGGCCTTCACAGTTAGAAATCTCTGCCTTGCAATTAGGCGATCACATAGCTCCTTTAACTACATTGTTTTGGCATCTAATCAGACTTCAGACTTCAAATTTTATCAGCCCCAAAAAGCGCTGCCAGGCTGGATAATCTCATCGAGGTACGAGCGTTGGCACACATTAGCCAGCAGTTATGCGCGAAGCCTTAAATAATAAAACGAACACAAGCTGGACGGCCGTTTCTCTTAATGTTAGAACTGTAATCTAACTTCTCAACCTGGCAAGATAATGGCCGGGAAAACTGAATTACTTATGAGGCCACAGGTTCTGATTGAGCTGCAGCTGAACGGCATCGAGTTAAAATGTAAAATGCAACTTTTTCCATTATGGTTTTAATTTAAAAAGACACCTTATGAGTAAAGCAATTACACACAGATTAAGCTGTCCACATATATTGCATTGTGAAGTGTGTTGTCCATGCTTGTGCTTTAATGAAATGTTCCCAAACTTGCATGTGATTAAAAATTTAAAAAAAAACGACTTTACCCCCACCTGGTGCACCGATGGCCGAGCAGGGTTAGAGAGGGCGAGAAATGCAATTTGTCTGGGACCGGCCGCTTATCGCTCGACTTGTTTAAAGCAACCAATTATATAATGCAAGAATGTGAGAGTGTGTGAGGGGAGTTTGGGTCAATCACTGAGCAGAACTGGGGAAATACTGAATTTATTTTTTTTTGTATTTTGATTTACTTACTCATGCATTTTGTAGCAGGTGTATATATATTTTCTTTCCCACCACTTCCTCCTCTCCACTATCAGCAGCTTAACACCTCATTATGGCTTTCGAGGTGTTGCCCAGACACTGAGATAATGCACCATTATTACTTAATGGCGTTTCATACACCGGACTGCACTTTCCACGGCTCGTGATCTACTTGCATTCGTACTATATTCCCATCCACTGTCGGAGCCATATTGTAATGCGCTCTTAATGCTCCCTCAGTGGTCCATTCAGGTCATTTCATACGCCCGGCCAATGCCAGCTGAGGTCTAACTGTTGCTCAGTGGCACCGGGGAGCAATACGCCGGTCTATACATATCTGTTTGCTGGAGTAGAAGCCGTTGCAGAAGTCTAATTTATGCTGCAACTACACCCTGGTTATGGGAGATTATACTGGGAGGTTAGAGGACTGTATTGTATTATAACATGTCTAATCCAAACAACAGGCCAAGCACTGGAGCTCCTGAAGGTCCAGACATCAGCTCAAACACACTAAATCGTAGGAAATGCAGTATTCTAAGTTTGTCTCATTGTTTTTGAAATATCAACACAGCACGGCCCCTCTTTGATCAACATGCCACTCATCACCGATGATATCAAATGTGAACAAATAGGTCTTTAAACAGCCACAGAGATGCGGTTTACATCTAAGAATATCTGGAAAATCAACTTGACCCAATCAGACTAGCGTTGGCAGCTCGCCTAGTCGTGGTTCAACTTGTTGCTGCGATACTGGAACAGCCGAGGATTATTATATAAGAAAATAAAATCCACAAATTAGCACAAATGTTGTGCAAAATGCATGGTATGCCATTAATATTTGCTCGGCGTTGATAACACAAAGTCAGATGAGTTCATTCACATTAAGCAGAAACAGCGGAATTAAAATTATTATGGTTTATTATAGTTGTATTTTCAATTTATTTCCTCACTTAATCTAATTAGCGCTGTGATAATGTACCATTTTCTTTGGGACAAAATTAGCATTTGAAACTGAATCCAGGCGATGATCTGCTTGTGAATATTTTAAGTTATTTAAGTCGCATGTGAGGGCCATTATCAGCTGAGTCATCCCAGGGATGGTTTGTATCCCTCTCCGGTTTTGCTGCAGGCTTAATTAAGATGGCTTATTAGAGGGCGCGGAGATAAAGCACGCGCATTAATCGGACAAACGGAAAACAACCGGGCACAAACAAATCACGCTGACAAGCAAAGACGAGCGGGAATTGAAAAGCGTGAGCCGTGTCTGCGTGAGTGATACACGGAGCGGTTTTGTGTGTCGGCCGTTGACCTTTAGTTTGTACGTCTGCAGACACACTGTTCCACTGTGGTCACCAGTGTCACTGCCAACAGCTTCTACATACGTCATTATTATTATTATGGGACTTAATAGACAGTACAGAGTGCAAGGGCTTGGAAGATTGGTGCCAAAACTACAGCCATGATTCAGCCTTTTTTTATGATTCAACAAAATATTCAGTGCATTTGTGCTGAAAAATTAAAGAGCTGCTTGAATTGAAGGTAGAAACAGGGCAGGAGGATATTTGATCAAAAAAAAAAAAAAAAGTAATGAGGCATAAGCTAAATGTCAACTTTGATTACATTATTTTGGACAACAAATTTCTCGGTACACTGTAACCTCATTAATCCCGACATTAACGTACAAACTGTATGAGTTATAACCCAACAGAATGGATGCTTTGCTATGGAGGACACTGAGGTTCTTATTTATCTGGAGCGTCTCAACCTTTCCATGTATGCCTCTATGGTTTTTCCACCAAAGGGCTTCACTGTATTCCTTGTAGAACGCATCCCTGCCGGCGTAACAGCATGGGAATGTCACCGCCAGAGTGCAGAGTGGTTTACCTGGCGTTAATAGGCTCAATCAGCATTGCGTAAAATGCTTTGGTGAGGTTAATGGATGTCCATTTATATGCAAAAGTCCTGCACTCCAGCTTCCAGGGAAGGCGTTAATGCATGCAGAACGCATTGTGATCGGAATGCAGTTTAATCTCAACTCGTTATTCATGCAACGTGTGCACTGTGTTCCCGAGAAGAAAAACCCAAGATGGATCAAGCTTAAGCTAGCTAACCGAAAGCCGCATGTGGTAGCACCGGCGAGCTAAAATAGACAATGCCGGTCAATGGCGTGGCTTCTCTTGACCTGGGACTAAATTGCATGCTGAGAGAAAGATGAAAACTCTCACTAGTAGCAGGTTTAAGGATTGTGACTTGAATGCCAATGCACAGACCGATACGGCATGCTAATACTGGGTGTAAACGGGGCCCGTGTGCATTGAGGTTTAGCACGGACAGACAAATAGCATATGAGAGGAGGGCGCACGACACGCAGCACAAGACCCCAGTGGAATTCAAACCGGGGGCTATTGCAGGTACTTAGCATACGTCTCAGAACACCGTTTCACCGGGACACCCACATTCAGCTTATTTCTTCAGTACGCCTCGGAGAATAACGGCACGGAGATGGCGATTTGTACAAAACGGTGCAGAGATGGTGAATTATGAAAAATGGCACGGCCAAGTCAAATGACAGGTTGTTAAATGGACTGGAATCTGATCTTTCTGTCTGCAAAATCTCAAATCTCTTTTCAGGGACGCAACCAGAAAATGCAACACGGGTCAAATCCGGATACAGAGAAAGGAAAAAATAAGCTGCGATCAGTCCCTCTCTCTCTTTTCTTTCTTTGTCCTAACGAGGATCAGCCTTGTGTTGATGATTAGTGATTCAGCATGTGTCTCTCACTCAAGCACCAAACAGCGGTGATGGCCTTTTGTTCGCCTCAGCCAGAGGCTCCGGCATAAAGGAGGAAGAAAAGCCAGAATGAATATGCATAACCTTCACGCGCTAATGTCCAGAGACAATCGGCGAAAAGAGGAGGGGTGGACGAGCGACGGTGAGGCTGTGTTATTATACAGTTTTGTGTAATCGTGTTTTTCTGCGGTTTGCGGAGGAAGGAAACCGTTTCTCACACGGAGCCGATTGTTTACACTCCGGTCAGGTTAATGAATTCCATATAATCAGACTTTCCTGCCGCTAACATGTCTTTTTCTTTAAATTCAGCCCGTGACGCCGACTTGTCCGCTCTCCAAATCCAAAGCGACAAGATCATATTTGGAAGTTTATATCGCGTATAATCATCCGCCGTCGCTGCAAAGGCCGAGTTGCCATAGTAACAAGGCATGCATCCTCGCCGGCTGATGTTTTCCTCGGTGCCGTGACGAGCCGGTAACGCTGAAGACGCCCCGTTTCGCAGTGTTTCCGACGGCCTTTTGTATTCACGGCGCACAACGCATCCTTGACACGTGAAATCAACAAGTGCCGTATCTATGCTGCCCGTCACCGCATCCGTTCGTGCTTGTCCTATACTCTTCTACGTCAAACACGAAGTGATGGAGAGTGAAAGAAAAACAAAGTGTGATTCAATTGTATTGCAAAAAAAAGGAGCTCAAATTGTCAACAGAGGTGGATTTTAAGGCTACATTTAGGTCTGATTTTCAGATTTGAGCTGGTGAAAACTCAAAAAGTTCCCCTCTACCATCGCTACAGGCCAATTTTCAGTATTCCTTCAGTTGTATGCACCTCCTTTCTGAATTGCATTGACCCCGCATTCTCCATTCCCTTCTTCTTTGTCCTCGCCGTCTCCTTTGTAGTCACCTTTCCTCCAGCCTCCCCTCTCTGCGTCCTCCGTCCTTCACATCCTCCGTCTTTTTCCTTTTTCTACCCTCATTCCAAATTCTACCTGTGTCCTCACGTGTCTATTCATCCCTCTCTCCTCCTCCTGCCCTTGTCATACCCTTTTCAAACCCTCTCCACTCTTTCTCCTGCTCCTCTATGGTCCATCTCCTCCGTCCGTGCCCTCAGGATATTTGCCCCCGGGCAGCTCCACCTCCCTTCGGCGCCTGTCCCAACTCACCCAGCAGGATGACGATGCACAGCAGGATGGCAATCAGAGCCCCCGTGCTGAGACCCGCCGACGAGAGGAACGCCTCGCCTTGGCACATCCGGATCCTGCCGTGGCGCTGGCACGGGCACACCCGCAGAGTCAAGGTGCTGGTGCCGCTCAGCGACGGCTCCCCGCCGTCCCACACCACAATGGGCAGCTCGTACAGCTCCTGCGTCAGGTGGTTGAAGCGGCGCCGCCTGGCAATGATGCTGGCCGAGCTGTCTGTAACGGAGAGAAAAAAAGAAAAGCAAATTGTTAAGGTAAACGAGACCCCTTTGGTTAAAAACAAGGACTAATTGACGGTTTCGTCTTTCTTCTCAGTTGCACGCCTATTTCAGCGGAGCCTTCCTGCAAATTACCTGATTACAGACAAGGATCGTCGGCTAAAGAGAGAGAAAAAACTCCAATCCACTACGTTTGTGAATCAGATTTTATTTATTTATTTTTCCGCTTTTTGAAGTATCTCAAGCCGGTAGCTTTCTCACTGTCTCCGCAAGCTTCCCCGTGTGCCAAGGCTAATTAATTTCAAAGGTGTTCATTTACTATTTTAATGTGCTGCAAAAGAGCAGTTCACCTTGGCCTCTGCTAGAAACACTTCTGTTAATGGAACATGTCATGTAGATAAACAGACATGAAAAGGCTGAATTTGTAGAGAGGAAAAAAAAGAAGGCAAATAAGATGGATCTCTAGACAGTGGCTTTATGACAAGATTGATCAAAGACGACGAGGCGAAGGAACACAAAAAAAAAGTGCTTTGAAAATGAGATCATTAGGCGGTTATTGTTTGTTCTGAGCACTTTCTCCCGGATGGATTTTACCTTTAACCTGAAAGCGGGATCTCTGGCGGCCCGGCAGACTGCGTGCAACCACTCAAGTCGCTGAAAGATGTTCTGTTCTCGCAAAGATGAAATACCTGTAGCTGTGCATCGGGGCTACTTACCACAGTCCCCTGCATTACTGTACTCCGCTGAAGCAGCCTGGTTTACGTCAGCCTGGCTTATTTTGACATTAATGGATCGTGGAGCTACAGACACATTATATAACTTCTATAAATACACGTATACATGCAGCGAAGTTTATGGATTACTTCAGACTGTGTAACATAAAGTCAGAGAAAAAGTACAGTTGCTTTCAGACTGCATTCCAACAGTGAGATCTACTGGACAGTAACATGGGCAGTGCTGTGATCACACTAGCCTCTTTAAACTAGTCATTGCTAATTACTTTTAAGGCCCTGTATGCCAATTCATGTGCAAGCCACTACATCAGACTGGTGCCTTCGTCACCCACCGGTCCGACGCCTCATTGGACCAGAACCTGCAATGCAAATCTCCAATCGAGTCTTGCACCTGTATTCAAAAGCCAGTCAGTCATTCAGGGCTAGCATCGGGATGCTACTGTCTACCTTTGGTTACGTTTCCTGCTTCAGGTCAGTTAGGATTATCAGAATTATTTCTATTTGCTAAATGCCAGAATGAAGAGAGAATTTTTGAGATAAAGTTTTGTTACTTTCTTCAAAGTCAGAAGTTTAACATCCACTAAGATGCCTTCAGACTATTTGGGGAAGCCCAGATGATGATGTCATGGCTTTGGAAGCTTTTGATTGGTTAATTGACAACATTTGAATTAATTGGAGGCACACCTGTGGACACCTCAAACACATTACTTCCTTTTGTGACAACATGGGACATCTAAAGAAATCAGCCAAGATATCAGGAAGAGAATTGTGGACCTCCAGATGGTACAGTTTCCAGATGCCTGAAGGTTCCACGTCCATCTGTTCAAATAATTATATCAACTATAACCACCATGGGAATGTCCAGCCATCACAGCGCTCAGGAAGGAGACGGTTCTGTGTCCCAGAGATGAAGTGTTTTGGTGTGTAATTGAACTGTTTGGCCTTAATGACCATCGTTACATTTGGAGGAACAATGGAGAAGCTTGAAGCCTGAGAACACCATCCCAACTGTGAAGCACAGGGGTGGCAGCATCATGCTGTGGAGGTGTTTAGTTGCAGGAGGGACTGGTAGACTTTACAAAAGAGATGGCATCATGAGGAAAGAATGTAGAAATATTGAAGCAACATCTTAAGACATCAGTCAGGAAGTTAACGCTTGGGCACAGATGGGTCTTCAGATGTACGATGACCTTCAGCATAGCGCCAGATTAGCTACAGAGAGGCTTCAGGACGACAAAGTCAATGTTGTGGAGTGGCCATCACAAAGCCCTGATCTCAATCCTGGAGAACATCAGTGGGCAGAGCTGAACACGTGTGTGGAGCAAAGAGTCCATGAAACCTGACTCAGTTGCAGGTTAGTGTAGCATGTTTAAAACTTAAAGTACACGTGCTCCTTTCACTAGATTTCTTGTTTAGTTAAGCAGCCTCCTCTGTTTTTAGTGACTCCTTTAACTACCTGTTTTCAAACAGGAACCACTTCCAGCTCCGGTTAAAACCGTGTCCACGTGGCTGTTTTTGGTACTTCCCTTCCTCTGTAGGTCACAACACTTAATCTCTCTCTCTTGGCTATACCTCTAACTTCTTAGCCGCCCTCACTTTGAGATCCCTGGCAGAGGGTTTTCGTCTGTTCCAGGGGTCCGGCTGAAAACTAAAGGGGACACAGCGCTTGCAGTCGGGGCCCTGCGGCTCTGGAGAGAAATCAGGTTGGCTGAGTCACCGGCCTCTTTGAAGTCCTTTCTTCAAACATTATTGAAGAGCTGTTCTTTATTTTATTAGAGTTTTAATATCCTTTGAACTGTCTCTCATTTCTTTTGAAATAAAAAACTTCTTTCTTTTTTTTTTTTTTACCTTTTCCAACACTGTATTGGTCTGAATGCACCAAAGTGTATTTTTAATCTGTCTTTTGAAACTTAAACTCAAAAGTATTTTTTTACGCCTTTTCAGTGACAGTGTCATATTTCTGCCTTGTGTAACTTGGATTCTGAAAATTGCATTGAAAATAAAGCATTAGTAGTAAGTAGTAGAAGAAGCATTAGTTGCCAACTAGTTCTAGAAACCTACCAACGCTGCATTGACCTTCAGTATGGACTATTTGTCTTTACTATCTTGGCATCAGCAGAAAGAAAGCTTCATTGGAGAGCTAGAAATTTACTTCAAAGCATCTGAAACCTAAATCTATTCACGTACATGGGCAGCTATCATAGACTGTATAAAAGATGGACGTAGCAACCGACCCTGAAAAATGAAGCCAACCCGGAAGTGTCAGAAACCTGCCTTAACACTACATCTGCGAGCTGCTGGCTCCAAAAAGCCCTGGCTCCCATAGACTGGAATTGGAAAAGAAGTGATCACAGCATTCCTCCAGCTCAGGATTGTTTTCTTATTAGTTTTCATGGTCAAGTCCAGAGATCAGGTGGCCAATCTGAAAATAAATCAACACTGAATTTTTAAAAAATCGACAACATTTTGCGGGGCAACAGGCGTGGCTGGCTTGATTGACAGTCGGCAGCGACCATACAGATGAAGCGAGCAGAAGGCGGTAAATGTGGGCGGGCAGAGAGGGCCCGCCTCTCAATCTGTCTGACCAATCGCTGCTCCTATGGCTCCGCCCCCCCCACGATTTTTAGCTCCAAAAATCCAAGATGTCAACCAGGAAGTAGCAAAACCCTGGCTTCATGTTCTCAGTGCACAAACCAACGGGTGACGTCACGGCAGCTATGTCCATCTTTTATACAGTCTATGGCAGCTATACAGTATATTGTATAATGCTGCATTATTCAGAGCTTTTTTTAATTAAATGTTTCAGTGTAAGACGGCTGCTTGTGATGCTTTTATGCATCCACTTGCTTTATTTGTTGAAACACATTGAAATAAATGTGATTTCCATCTATCTAAACAGCCTTATTGTTTATCCTGGCCACCTTGCAGTGTTATTAGCACGGCTAGCATTAACCAGGTGCTCACCCTCTTATCTACCTAAGAATGCCTTCTATTCAAATTGCGTGCATTAACAACAGCACGGGCGAAGCTTATTTCCCATTTGTTTGTCGTGCACATTAAAAAAAAAAGGAAGCTAAGAAGCTTACTCTAACGCATAAGCCTGCACATGACCACTTCACACGCCGGCTTTACAATTAAGAATCTAACATGCAACGCTTAGCGGTGCATGGGAAAGGTTATGTGAACAGAAGAGGCTGTCAGGTATTATGAATAGTTTTAATGAACTGTGCACGGCAGAGGCTGGGTGTTTTAGAGCACCCACGCGTAAGTGGAAGTAAAATATGTAGGTGTGTAATGACATAAAGAATCACATAATATCAATAATAAATAAAACCAGCATGCCTGAGTAGCCGCCGCTGCTTGATCATCCCTGTTCATTTAGACTGCATCCTCCGGGTGAATCAGGCACCTGGATGAATAGCTCGGGCCTCACATGACTAACTAGAAACTTGCAAATGACACGCCGCACGCTGATGTATATTTATATACAGTCACGCAATATTTCAAGTTCTAAAAAAAAAAGAAAAAAAAGATGCTGAATTGTGCACAAGGGCAACCTTTCCCTTTCCGCCCAGCGAGAACACCTCCGCCGTGCTGTACTATCGTGCTGATGCTCTGAGACCTCGCCTCCCACTCCAATCTCTGCTCCATCTATGAATAATTATAATGATCGACAGTTGGAATGACAACACGTACTTCAAGCTTTATTAAGTCAGACTTGCAGTATCACCGTATCAGCAAGCAGATGGGTGGTGGCGGTGGTGGTGGTGGTGGGGGGGAGGTTTGGGAGAGAGAGAGGGATGCAAATAACAAGGAAGAGAGATGGGGAGTTGGAAGATGAGAGCGTGGAAGGGTTGGTGGGGGTTGAACGGAGGAGGAGAGTGTGTTTGTGTGAGAGAGAGGACGAAGACAGAGGGTGAGGCAAAGCGAGACAAACAAGCTCTGTGTATGCGCCGCCGCAGCCTCTACACTTTGAAGCACACGACCGCGGCGGCAGCGGCGGCGGCGGCGCAGGTCCTCGTGCAGACCGCGGCGAGGAAGTTCACATCAATTATGTCATGCTAATTTCACATTAAACCTCCTCTCGGCGCAGGTGGGCGGAGGAGAGCCGCGCGCTTGTTGATTAACGCCGCCGCGATGGCGAGATGGGCCATCTGCAGCCGCATCCACACTAGAGAGAGCGAGAGGGAGGTAGGAGGGGGAAGCGGTTAGCAGAGGCACGGCTCGACTACGTGACACCGCCTGCAGTATGAGAGCAGGTGAT